CTTTTTCTGAAACATTAGAAAACTGACTGTAATGTTGTGGGAATTAAACAAGATAACATATGTAAAACATTAACACAGAGCCTATCCCACATGGTAAGATCAAGGAACTAGCTTACATCTAGCCTTGGAAACCACAAAGCTACATTTCAACATGAATGCAAATAAAAGCAGCCAAAACACATAGAAAAATCATGAACAACAACAACAACAAAGTCATGACCCTCATGCAATTTACAAATGCTAAGTAACCTATTATTGGTCTCCTTGTTTTCCATGAAGGAAGACTGAAAAACATAAAGTTCTGAGGCCTTTATCAAATTCATGAATAGAGCAGTTATAATATAACCTCAACAACTCCTGGTGATCCTAATGGAATCCCAGAATCTTAGAATGTTACTGAAAAAAAAAAGCTTAGAGATCTGTCCAACCCTTTTCTTTTACAGATGACAGAATTCAAAGCCAAGAGGCTAAGTGATTGACCCAAAATTACTCAGTATGTTTTATGATTTCTCTAAATATGTATTATTTCTAGCCCCTGGATCCTCCCCTTCTTCCCTCTAATCAGTCCCTCTCGATATATAGCAATGCCAGCAGCAATGTGATCTACAAAGAAGGATCCTGTGTGTCCTACCTCCTGTGAGAATGAAAGTTCCTAAGCATAAGGACCATGTCTTTTATCTCCCTGCCTACAAAATGGCCCTCCATATGCTCACAAATCCCTACTGATTAACTGACTGAGCAACACACACACTTCTCTGCTCGTTCTATAGGAACTTACTAAGTGTTTAATGAGTGCATATATATATAATAATAGATCCTCCAACTAAGAACATGATCCCTCTCTCCATTGCAGCATCAAGCAGAGAACTGCCTGCCAGACTAGCCTGAAGAAAGTTGCTAGGGAGCACTGAAAGATGTCCACAGGAAAGGACCCCCAACTTGGCTGCTCTCTATCACAATGGCTGTTATCTTTACCCCCTACCCAACCCACCACCACTCTTCTTATTTGTCCCTGGAGTCACCGAAGCTTCTCTTGGTTTTGGGTTCCAATAGATAAAAAGACATATAATTAAATGGCTCTCCTAAGTCAAGGTACAAAAGCAGAAATAGAATCTCAGCATGAACCAGCTCTCAGGATTTATACACACATCTAAGCAAGGCCTGACCAGTGCTAGGAGACCTCGAAAAGCAGAAGATACAAGCTGGTGGGAAGGTGACAAGATCCCAAAGGCAGAAACCCTGTGGAATGCCTGTGGGGTGCTGAATCTTAGACTCCATTGAGCCCCCTCAAATGTCACATTTCCTCAGTACACCACAGCTTTCCTACTTTTCTAGGCTTGAAGCCTTAGAGTCTCTCTTGAATTCCTCCCTCTCCCTCTCATCTAATCTGTACCCAAATCCCACCCTTTCTTTTCTTCTACCATCCAGCCTCCTTCCTATAGTTATGAACTGCTGCATCCAGGTCACTCCTCACATGACCATACAAGAGACTCGTAACAGGCCTCCCTGCTCAGACACTGCTCTTTCCAATTCATCCTATAGAGTGACCAACTTGTCCCAGGATGCCCAGAACTCTCCCAGTTTTAGCACTGAAAGTCTCACCTCCAGGGAAGCTCCTCAGTCCCAACTGAGACAGCTGACCACCTTACTGCAGTCAGAGTAAAATCTTCCCCCCAAAAGTGCTTTCATCATGTTACTTTCCCTGCTTCCTGTTTCTCATTAAAATAAACCCTAAAGCCGATGGCAAATCTGCCTCAGAGAATGAATAAGAAAGCAGGTTGGCTGGGGTAAGAGACAAGGGTTCTAGGCCTGGCATTCGTCATAGCCCTGTCAGACCCTTGGCAAGTTATTCAATTTAGCTGGGCCTCAGTTTCCTCATCTGTAAAATTAGGAGGCTAACACCAGACTTCCTTTTTGGCTCCAAAATTTTCTAATTCTATTCTCCTATACATCCTTTGCTCCAACCAGACTTACCAAGCCAGTCTAATCCAAACACACCCTGTAAATTCTCACCTTTGTATGTTTAGTCTCCCTTCTCCCCACCAGAATTTCTCTTTTTTCCTTTCTTCCCACCCAAATCCTCGAGGAACAACACAAACCCCATCGTCTAAAAGAAGCCTGGGCCCAGCCCCTAGAGCTCCATCCATACCCAGGTTTTCTAACACTCGGCATTTCTCTTGTTCTGCGTCTGGTATTCAAAATTTGTTTTCTAAGTAAAGCTTCTTATTCCAACTGGACTAAAATCTCTCTGCATTTCTGTGACTCCCTTCTGGAATCTTGAGCACTGATAGTAACTGATTGGTACATGGGTACACAGAAAAAAGTACAAGAAGAGACAAAAATAGAAAGTACAGCAAATCTGGAATTTTTTGCATTTTACACAAAATCCCCAAATGCTTTCATAACGAATAATTCATTTGCTTAACCAAGATTTACTATGAATCTCCTATGCTTAAGACACTCGTGGCATGTCACAGGTGCAGAGATGGGGAATAAATGGAGGCCCAGGTCAGTGACAGCATCTCTACTCACAAATAGCATAAGCTCCCACGTTGTTCCTAAACTCTAACTTTTTAGTAAGCCCTTAAAAGGCTCAGGTGGCAGCAGCAAAACCATTGTCACACCCTTCCTTCCCCAATTTGGTCATGTATCCACTCCTCCCACTAGACTGCAAAGCTGTTAAAAGATCTTTTTTTTTTTTTCCTTTATTGATTTTAGAGACAGAGGAAGTGAAAGGGAGAGAGAGATAGAAACATCGATGAGAGAGAACATTGATTGGCCGCCTCCTGCACCCCCCACACACACACACACTGGGGATTGGGCCCACAACCTGGACATGTATCCTGGCCGGGAATCAAACCGGTAACTTCTTGGTGCATGGGTCAATGCTCAACCACTGAGCCACACCAGCCAGACAATTTTTTTTTTTTTAATTCAGAATAGGTCAATAGATTAAAATGCACACAATATATACACAAGCAAGACATTAGCCTAGGACAAATCTCTTCTAGGAACTACATTCTGGCCATATACCCAGAATCTCTACCTGCTACTTGGTCAGATTTTTGTAAAGTGAACATATTGACAATCTTCTTGGGTATGATTTCAGTATTGTCTTCCATTAGTCTTGGTAAGTGACACATATTAAGTATAAACACCTCTGTCTTTTCGGACCCCCATGGCACACATGCACACCCACACCCCCCTAATTAAATGGGGCAGGGACTTGAACCATGTCACCTAATCTAATGACAAACAAGTTCATGAGCAAATGGGGGAAGTAAATAAACTAAACGGTTTGTAGAGGAAGAGGCCAAACTAGGCTGAGCTGGGCTGGGTCCAGGGTGATTCAGGCTCTGCCACAGAATGGGTGTCTCCTGGGATGGCCTAGTATGACAATTAAAACCTCTATAAATAGGATGGGTTTTCAGGCCTCCAGTATCCTCTTCAGCTTCTCAATCTTCTGCTCATTCCTCCTTACGCAGGTAAGACATGCATGGGGGACCAACGGCAGTATCCATGAGGCTCTTGGTGGCTGTTATGTGCTGGACTGGAGAGGTCTGAGACTAATTCCTAAGGGTGACAGCCTTGGGTAACCTCCTGCTTCCTTTTCTTGGCTCTATCTGAGAATATGATGATAGCTAGGATTGCCTACTTCTGAGGCTATAAAATGTACTTGCTTTTGTTTAAGTGTCCTAGGCATTCCAAAGTCAAGGACTAGACCTATTGGTGGATAGCTCAGTCTCCCCTAGTGGAGCATTTGCCTTTCGTGCATGTTAGGCAAGACCCAAGAGTTCAGAGCTCATCAGGGGCAAAGCCCTGGACCATGGGGCCATCTAATATTCAAGTCTCATTGCAATGAGTTGACACTAAAGACTCAGTTAATCCCATGCAATTTGTTATTTGCCACTTTTTTGTATAGGTATCACTGCATGCTCTTGGAAGTCCAATGTGTTTTGCAGTTAGGGTTTTAGTTTGGAGGCCTATAAACCCAGTAACTGGGATTTTCACACCACAAGAAGAAATACCATTGAGATCCAGATCGCCAAAAACCCCAGCCTCCTAGCGTGGCCAATGTGAACTTAGCTGATTATATCATACTTCCTATCATCTATGCAGTTAATTTGGCTTGCTATTTCATCTGTAACCATTTTTGTATTCACTGATTCTATTTTAAAACCATATCCTAAAGTAGCCATCCAGGCCAGAAGCACTTGCTAGAAAGCACTTAACCTCCCAGAAAGTTTTCTTGGCCCATGGTGACAGAACTTGAGACTTCTCCCCACTTGAGCAAGGCTCATTAGAAGACTGTAGCCTGTTCAGTGGGGTCTATGTAGTGCCCCATTTAGTGTGCTAGTCACTGGTGGAAAATTATGCTTTACTACACTGGTTTGGACCCTGCCTCTGTAGACTTCCTGACCATCTTTCCTTTCTATTCTAATATGAGAGTTTCTTTATATAGAGTTTCTTTAGAGAGAGAGGAAGGGAGAGAAAGATAGAAACATCAATGTGAGAGAGGCACATTGATCAGCTGCCTCCTGCACTCTCCACACCGGGGAACACGCCTGCAACCCAGCTATGTGTCCTGACCGGAAATCGAACTGGGATCTCTCAGTCCATGGGAGGACACACAATCCACTGAGCCACACCGGCTGGGCAAATAATATGAGAGTTTCAATCAAGCAAGTCCCCCCTGGAGTAGATGGGGCATGTAAAACACCTACCATATATTTTTTGGGTTTTTTTTTAAGAAATGGACTTTTTTTCTAGCAGGGGACCCATAGTCTGTATTTACCTTCCACTGTAGTTTATGATATTTGGAGCCAGACTTTGGGTCAAAGGAAGTGAGGGTTATGGCTAAGCAGAAGCTCTGTTATTTTTTAAGTTTCTGTGTCTGACCAAGAGGGGCCACTTTCCCTCTGAAATTGCCGTCTCCTGGGCTTTGTTCTAAACAGACAAAAATCTTGTTTCTTCTTTTAGCTCCGCCTATCTTTGTCAAAATGGCTCAACTCTTGAACAGCATACTCACCGTGATCGAGGTGTTCCAGAAATATGCCAAAGAGAATGAGGACTGTGCTTTGCTGTGCAAGAAGGAGTTGAAGCAGCTGCTCTTGACTGAGTTCGGAAACATCCTCCGGGTAAGGTGCATCCTCTGGGCCCCGTGGAGTCAAGTGCGAGTGACTCTGACACCTGCATCTCGGGCTTGATTTTTGTTTTATTTGGTCATGCTCCACCCTGTAACTAAGAGAGTTTTAGGCAGCTCCTTTACTAGCTTGCTCCCAGAACACACACATGAGTGCACAGGCATGCTCAGACACACACACACACACACACACACACACCTCCTTGTATCTGAACTTGAACAGGAGGGAGTACAACTTTAAACTAGAAATCATTTCTCAAAAGAAATCCAGATTTATATCTTAATTTCTATATTTTAGTGCTGCCTACACATCTTCTCATTCATTCATTTATTCATTCATTCATTCAGTAAAGAGTCATTAAGCACCTACTCCATACCAATATCATACTAATAGATAAAGCCAGCTTCCACTCCCTCCAGGATCTCACAGTGTGATTGGAAAAAAAGCTGGTGAATAAACAACTATAATATAGCATGTGATGGTATGGGACAGCTTTCTCAAATGACTCAAATTAATTATTAAGTGAGCTGATTTTAAATAAGTATATCTATTCCCTATCATCCCGCTCCCTCCAATGGGTTAGCAAGGGACAAGGTTCTGAGAACCAGCTGATCAAAAACTAGAACCAAGCCTAAGCCACTTCAGATTACTGGTTTCTCAACCAATGAAGACGCATATAAACTAAATGGACTGGGGCATGGACCTGGGCACACATCTCAGTATCCACATGGAAACATTTTATTTTCTCCTTGGTTTTCCTCTCACAGAGACCAAATGACCCAGAGACTGTGGAAACCATTCTGAACCTCTTGGATAAAGACAGAAATGGATTTGTTGATTTTCATGAATATCTCTTGTTGGTGTTCCAGTTGGCTCAAGCTTGCTATCATAAGGTGGAAAATGAGTCATGTGGAGATAGAACGTCCCAGCAAGAAGAGGAGCAGGAGAGAACACAAGACCATAAGTTTTCAGGAAATACAGGCAGACAACATAGGCAGAGGCATGAGGGAGGGAAGCAGGACTCCCACCACAGTCAGTCTGAGAGACAAAAGCAGGATAACTGCCAGGATCAGTCTGAGGGAAAAGATAGGGATGCCCACCATGGTCAGTCTGAGAGACAGGATCATGACTCCCACCACGGTCAGTCTGAGAGGCAGGATCATGACTCCCACCACGGTCAGTCTGAGAGACAGGATCATGACTCCCACCATGGTCAGTCTGAGAGACAGGATCATGACTCCCACCACGGTCAGTCTAAGAGACAGAATCATGACTCCCACCACGGTCAGTCTGAGAGACAGGATCATGACTTCCACCACGGTCAGTATGAGAGGCAGGATCATGACTCCCACCACGGTCAGTCTGAGAGACAGGATCATGACTCCCACCACGGTCAGTCTGAGAGACAGGATCATGACTCCCACCATGGTCAGTCTGAGAGGCGAGGTCAGAACTCCAGCTCTGGACAAAGACTGAGTCATAAATCTAGCAGTGGCCAGCCTAAAGGACAAGGGTATTTCTTGGCCTTAAATCTGTGTAAGAAACAAGTTCAGAATTCTCATAGTGGCCAGCCTGAAAGGCTTAGAGGACAATCAAGCTGTAACCAGCCTGGAAGACTTAGAGCAGACTCTTGCTCTAGCCAAACAAACCAACAAGAATCAGGCTCTTATTATGGACATTCTGCAAGGCTTGGTCAGGAATCAGGCTTTCATCAGAAAAACAGGCAAGGATTGGATTCTCCATATGGTCAGGCAGACAGACAACACCAGAGTTCCCACTATGGTCAGGCAGACAGACAGGGCCAGAGTTCCCACTATGGTCAGGCAGACAGACAGGGCCAGAGCTCCCACTATGGTCAGGCAGACAGACAAGGCCAGAGTTCCCACTATGGTCAGGCAGACAGACAGGGCCAGAGTTCCCACTATGGTCAGGCAGACAGACAAGGCCAGAGCTCCCACTATGGTCAGGCAGACAGACAGGGCCAGAGCTCCCACTATGGTCAGGCAGACAGACAAGGCCAGAGTTCCCACTATGGTCAGGCAGACAGACAACACCAGAGTTCCCACTATGGTCAGGCAGACAGACAGGGCCAGAGCTCCCACTATGGTCAGGCAGACAGGCAAGGCCAGAGCTCCCACTATGGTCAGGCAGACAGACAAGGCCAGAGTTCCCACTTTGGTCAGACAGACAGACAAGGCCAGAGCTCCCACTATGGTCAAACAGACAGACAAGGCCAGAGCTCCCACTATGGTCAGGCAGACAGACAGGGCCAAAGCTCCCACTATGGTCAGGCAGACAGGCAAGGCCAGAGTTATCATTATGGTCAGACAGACAGACAAGGCCAGAGCTCCCACTATGGTCAGGCAGACAGACAGGGCCAGAGTCATCATTATGGTCAGACAGACAGACAAGGCCAGAGTTCCCACTATGGTCAGGCAGACAGACAGGGCCAGAGCTCCCACTATGGTCAGGCAGACAGGCAAGGCCAGAGCTCCCACTATGATCAGGCAGATAGACAGGCCCAGAGCTCCCACTATGGTCAGGCAGACAGGCAAGGCCAGAGCTCCCACTATGATCAGGCAGATAGACAGGCCCAGAGCTCCCACTATGGTCAGGCAGACAGGCAAGACCAGAGTTATCATTATGGTAAGACAGACAGACAAGACCAGAGCTCCCACTATGGTCAGGCAGACAGGCAAGGCCAGAGTTATCGTTATGGTCAGGTAGACAGACAAGGCCAGAGCTCCCACTATGGTCAGACAGACAGGCAAGGCCAGAGCTCCCACTATGGTCAGGCAGACAGGCAAGGCCAGAGTTATCATTATGGTCAGGCAGACAGACAAGGCCAGAGCTCCCACTATGGTCAGACAGACAGACAAGGCCAGAGTTCCCACTATGGTCAGGCAGACAGGCAAGGCCAGAGTTATCATTATGGTAAGACAGACAGACAAGGCCAGAGTTCCCACTATGGTCAGGCAGAGAGACAAGGCCAGAGCTCCCACTATGGTCAGGCAGACAGGCAAGGCCAGAGTTATCATTATGGTCAGGCAGACAGAAAAGGCCAGAGCTCCTACTATGGTCAGACAGACAGACAAGGCCAGAGCTCCCACTACGGTCAGGCAGACAGGCAAGGCCAGAGTTCCCACTATGGTCAGGCAAACAGACAAGGCCAGAGCTCCCACTATGGTCAGACAGACAGACAAGGCCAGAGCTCCCACTATGGTCAGGCAGAGAGACAAGGCCAGAGCTCCCACTATGGTCAGGCAGACAGACAGGGCCAGAGCTCCCACTATGGTCAGGCAGACAGACAGGGCCAGAGCTCCCACTATGGTCAGGCAGACAGACAGGGCCAGAGCTCCCACTCTGGTCAGGCAGACAGACAAGACCAGAGTTATCATTATGATCAGAAAGACAGACGAGACCTGAGTTCTCAATACAGTCAGTCAGAAACTGGGGAAACTGGGCAAAATAAGTACTTCCAAGGGAGTGAGGGAATAAGCAGAGGCTCATATGTTGAGCAATCAGAAAGGTCAGGGAGACCAAGTCAACAGACTCAAGAACAAAAAATGAACCAAAATCAGGGACAGAGATTTCAGTCTAGGATAGGGCAGCAGGACAGTCACCAGGCATGGGAGCCTGAGGAGGACAGCCAACACCACCAACACAAACTTGTAGCACAAATCCAGCAAGAAAGGCCACAATGTCACAAAGACAGTGACAGACAATCTTGCAGTAGTGAGAAGGGTCACAGTCAGGCCCAGACCAGGGAGAGTCATGGTGAGGGGCAGAGCCACCAGGCAGAGGAAAAGCAGGACCACCAAATCTGGGGTAGACATAGTCATAAGGATCAGAACATTTTACATGAGATACGGGATGAGGAAACCCATGAAGAGGAACAAAAATATCAAACACAGGACAAGCAAACCCATGAAGAGAAACAAAGCCATCAGAAATGGGACAGGCAAACGCATGAAGATGAGCAGAACCGTCAGAGACAAGACAGGCAAACTCATGAAGAAGATCAAAACTGTCAGCGACAACGGAATAGGGAAACCCATGAGAAGAAAGAAAGATATCAAGGGTCCCAAGATCAACAATCCCATGGGACCCAGAGAGGCTGTGCTAACCAAGAAAAATTCTGCATGAATGAGGATGGCCAGAGCCAAGGCTCCCAGGGAAGACACAGTGACCTGGCCTTCCATCCAACTCAGAGCAGTGGGCGGCCCCAAAAAAGAGAAGAGGGAGGAAGTCACCCTCTTGCTCCTAACCATCTCTTTAACTATATACAAGAGCAGAGAGCACATTGGTACTAGGCCTTGTGTATACCAGAGCTACTGCCACGGAAGAAATCTATGTGTTAAGTTCATAGTTACTTCTAAGATTGAAAATGTATGTCTTCCTTCTCTCCTCTGCTTTCTATCAACTTGCAAGGATACTTTTGAGGATTAGCATTCCCTTTAAGGGCATTTCAGTTCTTTGAGCAGCAACTCCAGGGTGTTCTATTGGGTAAAATCAAAGTGGAAAATTGGGTGAAATAATCAGATCCTAATTTTGATTAGTTTGGGGATTTAAGTCATTTCCTGGTTTGCCCTCCATGTAGATAGGACATGGTTGGATCGCTGAAAGGTAGCAACTTCTCCCAAAATTCAGAAACAGGAAAGGTATTCTGAAGATACATCTCACAAACTGAGAAGACGCCTGGGCTTTGGTGAGCTTTGGCTTCTGTGGATGAAACATCAGGAATTGCAAGCCTCATTTTCTACACTAAAATGAAACAGTGAGAGGCTGCTAGGAGAGTCAGAGACTACAGAGGGCATTTCTAATTCACAACACCTCCAGTGCCAGGCTCCTACCCTTCACAAGAGGGACTGTCCATTGAGCTCCTGTCACTACAGCTGATTAGACTGGTTTCAGCTCAATGCCTGATCATATTAAATAGAGAGAAAGCACATGTCATTTGTTTTTAGATTCCAGTGAGCCAAAACTGTCAACCCATAGCTCCTGGGGCCTGACCCTTCACAAGAAAATCTATGGAATTGTATTTAAATACCCAATAAATTGGTGAGCAATGATTTCAATGACTCTTTTCCTTCTTCACTGTGAGGCTGTTCTATCTTCACTTGTGGACCATTTTCCAAGAACAAGACCTCATTCCTCAACTTCTAAGATCTTTGTTCTTTGAGTTCCTGGGCACTGAAAAAAAAATAAAAATCAATAGGAAACAAATAAAAAGAAGTCAAAAGGAACTTATCTAAATATCATGTTCAGCTCCTTCCTTCACAGAGAAGTCAAATATAATTCTTCTCCCTCATTTACTTCCACATTCAAATGGTCATTAAGTTTTGCTAACTCTATATATTCTCCATACCTGTTGAATCCCACTTCTCCATTTCCACTGCCTTAATCTCCCTTCTCCTCAGTGACTCAAGTCAGAAGTCTCAAAATCTGGAAGCTGCTCAGGGTTCATGGGGGCTTTGGTGGGTCAGCAGGCAGTACAGGATGGGAGGGATTTTTGATTTTAGGCAGAGGGAAGACCATGAATACCAAATGGAGAAGGAAAGTTCTGGAGTACTTGATGAAGCAAAGGGACATGCATAGAACACTAACGAGAGACAGTAAGGTCACAGCTGAAAGGACAAAGTGAGCCAGATCATGGAGGACCTCCAACTCTACCATGAAGAGTTTGAGATTTTTTCCTGTTAGTAGGAGGAAACACAAAAGTGTTCTGAGTAGAAAATGAGAAATGAAGAGGAAAACTGGTTGGGATAGAGAGAAATAGCTAATATAAGGATGGAATTGGTGAATTTGATCTGGGTAACTTTCCCATCACAGATACAACATACATTCACGCACACCTTGCAACATGGCAGACTGGGGAACTATCCAGGCTCTAAGGCCAAATGCCAGTGACTAGAAAGGGGGTGGTCCACTCTCAAGAAGGGTGTGAAAGGAGGGAGGGGAAGCGTCCTAATGTGACACATGCTGACCAGAAGTGGTCTCTGCAGCTCTCAAAAAAGCAGCTCTCTGAATCCAAGCCACAGAGCAATCTCAAAAATTTCTTCTACTGAGAAGTCCAAACAGAACGCCATTGCTTTTAAAGGCTGTCTCTATTCCCAAACTCTGAGAGAATCACACATACTGTACTGTGAAGCTAATTCACAGTGCTTCCTCCAAATATATCTAAACCGGAAAAACATCATTACCTTGCAGAAAACAGATCTTTATTTCACTGCAGCCCAACTTTCTTCCCCTTGGGGATCACTCCTCAGCTCCCTTCTCCTTTTTTCTAATCACAGTTTATTTTATCCAGTCCTGTTGCTTTAAATATCACTATTTCTAAGACCCTGAAATCTTCATCTCCAACCCCTACATCTTTCCAAAACCCCAGACTTATATATCTAATTGTCTACTTAGAATTTCATTTAGACATGAAATAATACCTCAATCTTAGCATTCTCAAACAGAATTCTTGACTTAACCTGTTTCTCCCTCAATTTTCTCCATTTCAGTAAGTTAGTAGCACCGCTCACATTGCTCAAGCAAAAACCTAGGAGAAATTCTGTATTGTAATCATCCCCCACCCCCCCAAATTAAACTCATCAGCAAGTCTTCTTGTTTCTATCTTAAAATACAGTGTAGTTCAAACCCACCATTCTTGTCATCTTTATTTCTATCACCTTCATCAGCACATCTCCCTCTTAGAATGCAGTACTAGCTTCCTGATGGGGCTCTCTACTCCTTTGTACAATGTAAACCACATCATGGCACTCACTCCCCTGCTTAAAATGCTCAGTGGTTTTCTACCATACTGAGTATAAAATTTAACATTCTCCCAGGGCTTTCCTAGGATAAGGCGCTGCGAGACCTCATCGTGCACCTCTTCTCTACAGCCTCTGTTTTCCAGCCATTTGACCTTCTTTCCATCGTTCTAGCAGGACAAGCTGGTTTCCACCTTGAGGCCTTGAACCAGCTATTTCTTTTGCCTGGAATATTCTTTTCCCTGATCTTTGTGTGGCTAGCTCTTTATTTCATTCAGGTCTCAGCTAAAAAGTCACCTCCTCAAAGAAGCTTCTCTAATATTTAATCTAAGAGATTATGCCCCAATCACTCTCTCACACATACCTCTCTTCTTGTTTATTGTTCTCGGCATTTTTCATATTTGATATCTTGTTTTTGTATTGCTTGTTCATTGTCTTTAGCCCCCTACTGGAGCTTAAGGTCCATAACAACAAGGGTTTTGTTTGTCTTTTGCTGCTGTACCCTCTGCTTGAAAATGGTGGCTGCTCTTGGTCAGATGTACTGTGGAACCTCGGTTCTCGAACTTAATACATTATGGAAGTCTGTTTGAGAAGTGATCTGTTAAAAAACTAAATCATTTTTCTTATTAGAAATCATGTAAATTGAATTAATCTGTTCCAGACCCACAAATGATTTCGTTTTAACTTTTCCTATATACAGTACATGTCTAATGTACTCTTTAATCTATAAACAAACACTTCTTAAATGATCGAACCTCCCCTTACTGACCTTAAAGGAATCACTGTCAGCACTCATTCCAGGGGCGTCTTTCAGGAGGTCAGCATGCAGCATCTTTGCTTTTTCACATATTACTGCCTCTGAAAAGCTATCAATGGCTAACTGCTTTTCCTTTATCCAAATCCAATTTTTCTATCTCTTCAATTGCCTGCGATCATTGTTTCATGAGCACTTTCACACTTTTAACATCAGCACTCTTGATGACCTCTTCATGTTTTAAAATTGTGATAATCATCCATTTTGCCAGCAACAAAAGCATGAAAAAAAAATTTTTTTTTATTTTAGAGAAAGCGGAAAGGAGAGGGAGAGAGAGATAGAAACATCGATGAGAGAGAACGTCTATTGGCCACCTCCTGCATGCCCCCCACTGGGGATTAGGCCCACAACCTAGTCATGTGCCCTGACCAGGAATCAAACTGACGACCTCTTGGTGATTGGGTCAACGCTCAATCAGTGAGCCACACTGGCCAGGATTTTGCTTTAAAAAAAAAATTTTTTTTTTCAGAGAGAGAGGTAAAGAGTGGGATAGAGAAATAGAAGCCAGCAACAAAAGCAAAAACATGAAAATATGCACAGCACAATTTCCTGAGATGTTAACAACTCAAGGTTTGGTAAACTGGCTCATACTCATTTATTCTCTCCTTTGTTTGTGGCCTGAGAGATACTTTATGTCATATTGATGTATCAGTATGAAAGGGTTGTCAGAATGAATGGATAAAAATGCTGTGGTACATATACACAATGGAGTACTATGTAGCTGTAAGAAAGAAGGATCTCTTTTGTTTGTTTGTTTGTTTGTTTGTTTGTTTTTATCCTCACCCAAGGACATTTTTCTATTTTTTGTTCAGATAGAGTTGGAGGAAGAGAGAGAGAGAGAAACATTGACGTGAGAGAGACACATCGAGTGGTTGCCACCCACACAACCCAACCAGGGCCAGGGACAAACTGCAACCGAGGTACGTGCCCTTAGCGGGAACCAAACACAGGTCTCTCTGGACAGCAGGCTGACGCTCTAACCACTGAGGCAAACTGGCCAGGGTGAAAGATCTCTTATCCTTTGAGACAACATGGAGGGACCTGGAAAGTATTATCCTAAGCAAAATAAGCCAAACAGAGAAAGACAAGTATCATATGATCTCACTTATTTGTGGAAATAATGAACATAACAGTCTGAGGAATGGGGTAGTCCCAGAGACGTGGAAGTGGGGTGCAGACTGACAATCCCCAGAACAGGGGGTGGGGAAGGAGAGATAAACCACAGAACTTATATGCATGTATGCATGAACAAAGGTCATGGACAACAAAGCTGGGGACAGGGTGGGGAGAGAGGGTGAGGGGGGAATCAATGCGGGGGAAAAGAGAAACATCTGTAACAAAAATAAATTAATTAATTTTTTTTAAAAAAGAAAGGGTTGTCAGAGAACTGAAGTTGTGTTCAACAACCGAGACATTTTTTCCATGAACAACTTGGTCAAGAACTGAATTGTTCTAGATGAGAGATGTTTGAGAACCAAGGTTTGACTATATTCTATATCAAATATCATGAATGTTATAGAACACCACAAGTCTTAATATGAATGTCTCCTAACATAGCTTGCTGTACAGTTTGGAGTTGATCCTTAGTGCAGAAATGTATGGCATCCGACTCTTGGATGTCCTATTTCTGGTGTTTGTTTTTATTTTTTACATAATGTGCACTTCCATCTGTTGTCCAGATGGCAAATCCTTGCCATTCCAAGGAAAGAAGATTTCCTGAGTTTGATGAAGAGAAAAACAG